CAGACCTTTAATTCTCAGATTAAATTCAAACGAAAGAATTTAAATTATTGGATCACTTTAGAAATAACTTGAAAATAATTCTACACAGAAAGTTCAAGTAATACGTGGGGGGTTCAAAAATTTTGACACTGTGCAATTATCTTGATGGCCCTCAAACGTTTCCCATTTTGAGAATAATCATTTTATAGCTTGGGTGACATTCAGTAAGTAATAAAAAATTTGGCACAACTTGATTTGACAATTGTAGAGAAATAATTTTTTCAATATTGCCTATTAATAATAATGGAAAATACTACACATGAAAACCAACGATACTACATTTGGGTATGCTGGAAGAATGGTAAAGATGCTACTGACATTCATAGGGAGTTAGTCACTGCTGAAGGTGACAAGGCACTATCCAAATGTACAATTTACCACTGGATTGAGACATTTGAAACTGGACAATTTAGCATTGAAGATGCCCCTTGTTCTGGACATCCCCGCGATGCTGTCACACCTTCAAACATTGATATTATTGAAGACCTTATAAATGACTACCCCCATATTACAATTGATAATATTCAGCAATTGGTTCCCATTTCGACTGGAAGCATTGAAACTATCTTACATGAAGAAATTTCTGTCAGGAAGGTGTGTGCAAAATGGATTCCTCGCACTCTTACTAAAATATTTTTTATTGGATATTCTTAAAATTTAATATCTTAGTAACTAACATACCAAAAAATTTAAACTTTTTTTTGTTTGAAAGATAAGAATGTCTAATCTTTATAACAATATTTTCCATAAAGTTATATGATTTTGTAACAAAAAATTTCAGTTGATTTTATTGACAATCTTTGAAAATTATTATTATATTATTATAGTAATCAATGAATTATAAAAAACAAACAATTTTTTATTTGAAAGACGAGAAATAAGCCTTTTATTTAAAAAAGAACTCAGATTAATTTAATTCAAGGTTATAAAGTTACAGGTCCTGTGACAAAACTTTTTGAACCCCCACGTACATTTAATTAGGATAAATTAGGAATAATAAATAATATTGTCCTTATCTTTGTCCTTGAATATTGTATTTTCGTAATGATAATAAATCTATTCCTAACAATGAATCCATACCAAATCCCATGCATAATCATTTTTTCTCTTATTTTATATTTGTCCATTCTTTTCTTTTCTTTTAGTGAGGTGATATTTAATGAATTTTATTTAGTAGTTTTGGGAACACACCTGACTTGAGTATGGATAACAGCTAAGGAGGACACCCACTAAGAAACGTGATCAGTAGTGTAAAATCTAAAAAAGATATTTTTTAGTACAAGAAATTGTTTAATGATAGTAAAAGATAGATTTGAGAGTAAAAACATGCCAGAAATTGTTGTTACGATTTAGTATAAATAAATGATATTAGATTAAAGAATTATTAAAAAAAAATCCCACTTGCGTAGCAATAATTTTTTTAAGAAAACAATTTTTTGCTTACAGAAATGATTGAACTAAAAAAATTTTTCTCAAATAATAATAAAATAATTTTTTTAAACGAAGAAAACAATTTTTTGCTTCCAGTGAAAGTGATTGATTTTTGCAATAATTAATAAAGATATTTGTTACTAATAACAAGAAATTAATTATGTAATAGATAATTATTGTTCTTTTATTGTATTTTAGCATCTTTGTAGTATCTAACACTAAATAAATTTCGAAAATATATTACATTATCATCCTTCGTAATGCTCTTTTAAAATAGAAAATGCTAAAGCTAACAGCGATATATATTATTTATAATTTAAGATGAAAGAGGAATTAAAACCTAAACTGTTTTTTTTGAACATTGTTGGCACAAGTTATTATTTTCAGCAATCAAAGATTCCAACTTCTTTTTTGTTTTTACAAATATTGATTTATATTTATTAAATTTATCTTGTGAATCTGCACTTGTTATTACTTGATCAATTTCCAAAATGCACATTTCTATGTGAATAAAGTCAAACAAATTATTTAGTTCGTGATAAGCGATCCAGTTTATATGGCTTTTATCACTTAACCAATCTACAATTGAATGATGGGCGTTGTTTCGATTATTATAACAGTTATATCTTCTATTTTTTACGTCAATTGAGAAATGCTTCAACGTTTCTTTATATTTATCAAGCTTATTTTGTGATTCAGTTATTCCTATTACTCTCTCAATTTCCAATATGCCGATTTTCATATCCAAATTTTCGCGCAAATTTTGTAACTTGTGTGGTAAGAAATCCAATTTCTATGATCTTTATTATTTAACCAATCTACATTTGAATGATGAGCATTATCCCAGTCATCTTTGCAAACAACATCGCTATTGACAGATGCCATTCTTGATATATAAATGTTTAATATTTTGTGTTCGGTCTTTTTTGCATCTTAAATCTGAAATTATGGTATTATGATGAATGCAATTTGGAATTCCAAATTGTATTGTATTGATTTTTCTTTTAAAGTATTCGCGTATAATCAACATACGTACAATACATCTTCCTATTATATAATATATATATTAAAACGAAACGAATTTTAGGTATTAATGACAATATAAAACAATAATAAGTACAGTATATCCAATTTGTTATAAAGAAGCGACACATGACATAAATAGGACCCAATGTATTTGGTCTAAAACTCCATTGACAAATGAAATAATAATATATATTAATTGTACTATATTATTATCGCTGTATTGTTATTGAATTATATGATACATTAATAAAGTTTGTATATAATATATATATAAAAATGGACATCATGATATATTTGTAGAATAATAATAATAATAATAATAATAATAAAAAGGGACAATAATTAAAAATTTATAAACTTGAAAAAATATTTAAAATAATGTACACCAAAGCCGAAGAAATTTTTTACTGAGTTATATATATATATATATAATATTCAGTAAAAAATTTCTTTGGTTCTGGTGTACATTATTTTAATAATTTTAATCCATCATATTAGTCGCCTTTAATATTCAACACATTTATAGATCACACAAAAGTCTTTTAGTTTTCTGAAACATCCCTTCTGATATTGTTGACACTGATCCAACAAAAACAGCGCTTAATAACCCAATTGTTTCTAACTCATGGAATTTGGCCCCAGGCGGCACGGAAAATATTCTTTGTTTTTGCGTCTCATCATGAGTATAAACGAAACTTTAGGCTTTTTACACCTAATTAGAAAAAGAAGAGGCGGAGATCAACCTACAAGCTTTATATCTGTCAATTCAACATAAACCTTTATAATTTAATTTATATTCTGTTTTTTTCTATATGGGATTTTTGAAACGTCAAATATTTTATATTAATAGCCATTTTTATAGTATTTATTACTTGGGTTTCAAAAAAACGCTCCAGTTGATCCGCTGAATCATAAGTTAGTATTTGATTATCTGGAACGGGATTTTTTTCGACAACAATTTTTACACTTTCATTTATAAGAAAAGATAGAAAAAAAGAGGGCGAAGAAATGAATAATTTTGAATTTTAAATGTTGAGAATGTGTTGAATTAATGGATGTATTCTTCATCGTTAAAATAAAAAAAATTTTTTAAGTTTATATATAACTTTTCAATCCTTTTTACGTATTATTATTATTTCAATAAAGTTTTGAATTATTGTCCAGAGTATTGTTGATTTTTAATTTGTAAAGATACATAATAATAATATGTTAATATTAATATATAAAATTCATCCATTCCTATATGTATATATATTAATTATTAAAATAATTATTGATTCCCAATTACATTTATTATTACTATTATTATTATTAAGGAGGAACAATTTAATAATAATAACAAGAATGTATTTTTGTAAGTGCATTCTACATATTTCTCATGTTCATCTGCAACTTGCTTCTTTTTATGGTCTACTGCTCTTGATGTTGTAGTTACTCCAAGACTTATATCTACCGAGTCTAGATAGAATGCAAGGTCGAACTTAAAAGAGTTAATTTTTGTATTATTTAATACAAGAAGATGACACGAACACCACCATTAATCTCTTCATATGGTCTATTACATTCAAATGGCTGAGCTTCTAAATAGAGTTGGTCAAAAAACCTCTTCAAGCTTGGTTCTATTTCTTGGAGCAATCTTCGTATTTCATCAAAATCGTTTATAGGACCTTGATGGCTCTAGCGAAGTCAATCTTTTCGCTTGCCTCTTCCTCTTCCCCTCCGCATCTGTGGTTTTTACTCTCCTAGGTTCTCTTTTTAAAAGATTTTCTACAAAATTCATATAACAAATGTTACATAAAACAACATGTTACTTTCACTATTGCCTTTTGTTGATGAAATTTAGCTGATTCAGTGGTTTTACATTCTGTGCAACATTAAATTTCAGGCAATTTTTCTTCGAGTAAATTCATATTATGAAAGTTGTGGGATTCAAAGGGATTCAAAAGATATGATAACAACAAAGTGTAAAGCTTCAAGTTTGTGTAATTATTTACATATGATTTATTGCAAGAATAGGCTACATGATACCCTTGTAAAAGTATTTTAAACTGTATATATAAAAAAATTGAAATCAATTGTGAAAATCCATTCCTTATATAGGACAGTCTCTCCTGTTGTTTCGACCAGAAAGAAACCTTAATATTAATGGAACATATTAATATTATACTGGGTGAAGTGATACTAACAAAAAGGGATATTAGTATACTTGAGTGTCAAAATAATTTGTGATACCATAAGTAATTTGGGGCAGCATAGGCCTGAAGATTATTGAAACTGCTAAATCCTCTCACTTGGTCCAAATCTTCACCTGCGGAGAAAATTCTATGGCTATGAAGTAAGTAATTGTATGTTCATGGTAAGAAGTTTTATTAAATCTGATCCCCGTGATCAATATCAGGTCTACTCATTTTATTTTATTGGAAACAATTTTACTTGTATTGGCACTAGATTTGGAATGTTTTTCCAGAACGTGGGATCAAGTTTATGATCTAATTTAAATTTTTTTGCCACATCTAACGAATGAATTTTTATAGTAAGAATACATAGTACATTTGCACTTCTGTACTAAATAATGAAAGTTGTACAGTTATTAGTATACGGAATGTAAGGACAAAAAAGAATAGTGTGATATGGAGTTGAAAAATGTACGGAATCTACCAATTGAGAACAAAATTGTGACGTAAACTTGATAAGTCAGTTACATGAGCCCACTTCCACATGAACAACTTTACCAACATATTAATATGTGATAAGCATGTCAGTTTCTCCACATAACTTATTCGAGGTCCTTTTGGGATTAGGCTGATTTTATCAATTACAATCACTTGAAATTTCAATCTGTTGCGGAAGAAGTAACTGAAATAAAAAAAGAGAGAAACCATAGAAAAAGGAAAAAAATATAGAACTTGAAATTAAAGACTTTTCACGCATTTACTTATTTGCAGCCCAAGGATTCAGCCGAGCAAAATAAAGAACTAAAGGAAATTTATCTTAGTTGTCACTACTTCTACCCACGAAACCAAAAAATTATTTGACACTTTACCCCCTCAGTTAAATTAAATTAATACAAACACCGCTCAACTCAAGAAATTCTTTTTGGGCCATTAATTTTCGATTGAATTTGCTATATATTGGATTTGAAAAAAATGCGAGCATGAAAATGTAATTGTAAATAATAGCAAATGTGCATTTAAACGAATGATAATTTTGCAAAGTCAATGATCATATTAAAAATTTTGACTCTAGGTTCACTATCATATATAAAGTAAGTATTTCAAGCCTTGTAACTCATTTTTATCAATTAAGCAAGATCACTAACCATATTTTTTGTTAGAACTCCACGCCCATTTAAAAACATCGTTTATCAAGAGTTAAATAAAAGTAACCACAATAATAGTAATCCTCTAATTGGTGCATCAACGTAAGTTCTTTAGAACCATATGATTGCTCATACAAAATAGTTCCAAATTTGTCTTGGCATCATTTTTAAATTACATATCACACATCCTGCATTTATATTTATAGTAGGTTAAGAATTTAGAAATTTAGAATCAATTTCCGTAGTAATCCAGAATTTGATATATTAATATTATAGCAATCATGGAAAAATCAGAATGGTTGCTGAGTTTAAAATAGCGGCACATAAGTGACACTATTTTAATATTGTATGTTCGACTACGAAACAATGGAAATTTTAGTATGTCACATTTCATAGACGGACACAATAAAATATGATAATCTCACTCGCTACAAAATATAGTTGGAAAAGATGCCATGAAAAGAAAGGAAAAAATCCAGATGTTAATTTGACAAAAAGATCAAGTATTAAATTATTTGTTTTTTTCATTCATCATTGTCTACTTGTAAACCACCTCCATGATAAAAATAAAGGAGGAAATGTCACCCACCTGTTACAATTTCTTCTGACTCCTCACTAAAAAAAAAAAAAAATGCAAATTTTCTTATGGGCGTGTGTTCAAAAGTTTGAATATAAATAAAATGAGCTTGCCTTTTTGGTTTTTCAGGGGCGTTTCCAAATATACTTTGTTAAAAATATTCCATTGCACAGCTTGAAATAGGCCACCGAATATAATCATCTGTTGCAGTTATAGATGGGCGTATAAATTGTTTTTGGGGTTGTCTAAAAATGTCTAAATGTCTAAATTAATATAAATAGTAATGATTTGCTTTAAATACAACTAAAAGTCACGTGAATATTTACAAAATCCACAAAATTCAGTAAATTATCCAATAAAAAATTCAATTTCAGCATTTTAGACAATTGAGACCATGATTGTCTAAATGTCTAAAT